TGAAACTTTAGCGTACAAACGGAGTGCACCACTATCCTCTGAACTTAACTGATGTAATGTGGGATGAGCAGTGAGTCCTCCATCATTTTGAAGGTGCAAAGAGGATGTTAGTTGTGAGCTTGGAAGGTTGATTGTATCCTCATTAATTTTTATTTTTTGCGTCATTGCACCAAACGAGTAAAGTGTGGTGTAGTTACTCAAAGGAGGTCATGAATAAAGAAGACAGCAGCACCAAATATTTGTTTTTAATAAAATAACTCTTCTTTCTTTTGGTCACTGTGTGACTTTCTGTAAGAAATGAGTCACATATACAAATACAAAAAACAACAACAGATAAAGGTAGTTCACTTTTATCTTAATATTTAGCTGTAGACCATTTTTAGAGTAAATGAGCTTCAAACTAACAACCTTCACAACATATTCCCCTCACGGCAGCAAACAAATAAACTGAAAAAGTTTGTCATTATTCATATTATTATTAAGTGAGGGACACATACAATGTTTACACAAAACTTCCTACTCTTTCTTCTGCCTAAACCTTTAGAGAAACTTCCCAGTTTCATTTGTTGATTGTAATTCAAGTCATCCTGACTGCCTGGCAGTAATTAATGTGATTTTCCTAAATTAAAATCAACATTTATTATATATGTCAAAAAGTTAACTTGAAAATAATAATAACAAATGTTGTTATTATTATTTTTTATTTATTTATTGCCAAAAATGTGGTCTCACCAATTGCTTCACCTTGGTAAAGAATGTCTGTAAAAGAAGACTGTATTTGTATTTACAGAATACTATGGTACCATCATGTCTGAAAGAAGTACTGTAAATAAAAATACAGTTAGCTTGGTTTTATGCTGTCATTTTTTCAATAAGCGTTAATCCTTCGAAACTCTATTCAAAACCACTAAAGTCCATGAACAAAAGCAGCAAATGCAGCTCAGAACACAGAGGTCACTGCGTTTTTCTTAAGTTTGCTCTTCACATGCCACTGGATCGTCTTTTCTCAACACTATAGTTCACATTTGCAGGCACTCTTTGAATATTTACAGGCATTAAAAAATAAAAGTATAATTTTTGTTTTGTTTAATGCTGTCAAATGCTTTTTTAAGCCTTTTACGCTGCTGTCAGTTCTTTTATTGCACAGTTATTCTGGGTCAATTATTCTTATATCCCAGCCTGAAGTGTTTCAGCTGCAACAGAAAGTGCTACAGCTAGCAGCTACTGACGCTATCTGTGCTGGCAAATAACCCAAACTATCTGAGTAAATAACCACGTAGGGAAAAACAGATGGCAATGTAAAGGTTTATGAAACAGTTTGCACAAACGTTGTGAATTATTTTAGATTGGTGTTGTTTTTACGACAGCAACGATCCACTTTAGACCTGGCCACACTCGTGCCAGTTGTTGTTGAGTCAAAATTCAATTTGTTCAAACTCAGGCCATTAACGGAGCGATCTATGTCAGGTAAGAGTTAATGTCACATTGACAAAGGTGTTTTATGATTGTCCTGTACTTCAGAAACTTTCAATGAAAACACCCTAATACTGACTTCTGCCTTTCAAAGGTAAAAGTCCGTGGCTACTAAAGTTTTCTTTTAACATTGCACTGCTAAAGAAAAAGCTGAATAAGCTTTAATCATAAAAAGTCCAGTCACATTAAATAATCATAAGTCAAACCTATTTAAAACTTCATTTTTTCGTTCATTTGTATTTTGGCAGAGATAGTGTCCACTGAACCATCGCTGTACTTGTTTTTCTTGCAACATGAGTTCTTTATGAATCTGAAGAGGGCGAATAGGGGTATGGTTAAACTGGGAACTCCAGCCAGGATGAAGATGATGACATAGATCCAGGAGGGGTAGGGCTGCTCATCCAGGGTGGGAAAGTTTTCCTATAAAAAGTATTAAAAAAACACATTCATAATTTATATCCACACTGCATGGTTAAGACGCCCAAGCTTATTTGTAGCCATCATTATTGATAAGAGAAAGGAGTTTGAAGTAAATACGTCTCCGGCACACTCACCGACTCCTGGTCCCAGACTAGATAGGTTACCTTCCTGGTGACTTGGGTAACAAAGTAGAAAATCAAGATGACGATCATGATGAGAGGGCTGATCACTCTCCATGTCGCCTGCCAGAAGATATTGGGTTTGTGGCCTATCATAAACTCAATGTCCTTGTTAAACCTGTTCAAGAGCAATAAGAAGATGCAATGAGCTGAGTGGAAGGAATGACCTTGTAGCTTCACCACTTACAGCACAAATAGGAACATGTGTGGCAATAAATGTTTTCTCAACTAACTGACGTGAACACTTCATCACGATAGGATATTCTGGAAATTTTCCAGCTTGATTAGCTGCATAATTGCAATGTCATTTACAATTAATAGGTACATTTTATTGTTTGTTGTAAACTTGATTTGAATTCTGAAACAACTAAACAAACTTCTGTACACATTCCCGTACTCTGCGTCACTGCACCGCATGACACATTCTGTACTTCTTTATCTCTCTCAGGACTCCAACATGTTATCTTGTCTCCAAGGTCAGGCTGTGATAGGGGGTGATTTCCTGCTTTGTTTAAAGTGTTGATGATTTGCTGTGTGCCTCGCTGGATTTCTGGAACCCAGGACTAGCAGGAAAGTCTTTAGTCACATTTACTCCCAAATTAAATAAGTAAAAGCAAAAGTAAAATTAGTTATCTTTGTAATTTAGATATATATTTAAGGGCCTATAAGGTTAATAGTATAAAATCAGTGATTTTTATGTTAAAAACTTCTATCATGGCTGACCATGTATGCGCAAACACAATTAGGTTTCAGCACTTTAACTATTTAACTCAGGATTCAAGGGTTTCAAATGATTAACTCTACAAAGTACATAAAATAAACAAAGTTACACTTTTTATCCTAAATGTTCAGAACATTTGATGGACCACTGTCTACAAAAAGGAATAGTTTCTGCTAGGTTTGCTAAACTGAATTTTGGAGGAGTAAGACAAAAACACCAAAAGTTTTTTTTAAGAAGCATTAATATAGCAGCCTGTTCTATCCACAATCTTCATCACTTTGTTTTCTAGAAATAAAATCTACAATGGAGCAGGATTTTACCTGAGGTTTTTTGTCTATCGCTTTATCTTGATCTTGTCAACATTAAACTTTGATTATGTGCTGAAATGGTTAATAACTGAGAAAAAAAAAACTGTACGGTAGTCCCTCAGGAATTATGTTCCAGACACCCCTGCGATGGGTGAAAATCCGCAAAGTAGGAACGTTATATTTATTTTAGTATTTAATATGTTTTAAGGCTTTATAAACCCTTCCCACACTCTCTAAATACTCTAAAAGAGCACAGCAAAAGAGAGAAAGGCTCGATTCAGGTTGCGCTTGATTATTTTAAATAATCCATGCTGCTTGTGCTGCTCACTCAAGTATAAGAGAGACAGCCACCTGCCCCCTCCTTTCTTTTTCTGAGGCTGTCTGTTGCGCGCCTGCCTGTTGTGTGTCTACTCTGCTGTCTGCAGCCTCAGAAAGAGAAAGGAGGGGGCAGGGTTTCTGGAGCCGCACTCAGCCACTCTCTGTTCATCTTATCTGTTCATTCCTGCTTCCTGAGCAGTAGCAATGGGAAAAAACAGACCCCACCCTCCACTCCTCCTTTCTCTTTCTGAGGCAGTCTGTCTGCTCTGCTGTGACAGCCTCAGAAAGAGAAAGGAGGGGGCAGGGTTGGGTCTGTCTTTTGTCAATCATGCTTCGTATACAATCTAATGTTGAAAACCCATGAAAGAGTGAGTCTGCGAAAGTCGAACAGCAAAATATTGAGGGACTATTGCACATAGAATTTTTAAAAAAGAGTTATAACTTTACTACACGCAGGGTAGCTGGACTTTCCCTTAGAGATAGGGTGAGAAGTTCAGTTATCCAGGAGAGACTTGGAGTACAACTGCTGCTTCTCCATATCAAGAGGAGCCATTTGAGGTGGTTCGGGCATCTAGTATAAAGGCTCCAGTATACTCGCGCTGACCTTTTTCCATGCAGACTCGACGCGCACTGTCCGCAGAGGGTTGAGACTTCATACTCAAGTGTCCACCCTGAGCGGCTTCAGACCAGTTCCACAGACAAGAGGCGTTTACCTTTGGGACAAATTGAAGTCGCCATTTGGTCATTTGCTGACACGCCTACTGCATTGATTGACAGGTCGCAAAATTAAACCAAAAGAGAGCTGGCAGTCCAGCCGCAGCGCTGTTCTGTGTTTATATGTTGTTAATAAAAAGTTCTAAAGAATAAAAAAAAACAGGGATAGCTGGCCCTGCAGCCCACACATCAGACCAGCCCACCAGGAAATCTCCAGACCCTCTCGCTGCCACGATGGACCTGATTTTAATTCTCTCATGACAAATTCCTTAATTTCTCACCATTTCAGACAAGGCATCAAAGGAGGAGGAGGAAGAGATCGCTTGCCTCTTGGCAAAAAAAACAAAAGAAAAGAAAAGAAAAGGCCAGATCAGGGATGAAGAAGAGGAATTAAATACATTGGTGTCGCAAACAAAACAGTCCATCGCCGGGCAGTTTATTGTGCGACACCGAGTACGGGTACGTGGTCATAAAAATTGAGCTTTTCACGGACATGCTCTGCGAGCATCCGCTTCGAGTCTAATCCGATATGCGTGGACCTCCGCAAACTCACGTACGCCTGACTATACTAGAGCCTTAAGGATGCTTCCTAGGTGCCTCCCTAAGGAGGTGCTTCAGGCATATCCAACTGGGAGGAGACCCCGAGGAAGACCCAGGACACACTGGAGAGACTATGTCTCTCGGTTGGCCTGGGAACGCCTTGAAGTCCTCCCAGAAGAGCTGGAAGAGGTGGCTGTGGAAAGAGATGTCTGGACCTCCCTGCTGAAGCTGCTGCCCCCGAGACCCATCTTCAGAAAAAGCGGAAGATAATGGATGGATGGAGTTATACATTTTTTTGCGGATATGTTAAACTTTAGCTAAAATAAGCTTCTTCCTTTCTTGCATTTTGATGTTGTTAAAGTGGATGTTCTTCCCACTTAGTGATACATCAGGTGCACAAGCAGGAAAAATATCTGTTTAATAAAATATCTGAAATAGTGTAAACAGGAACCCCAATCAAATCACTTTGCCCACAAATGAAGATGGTATCAGCTGCATTTTGCTGCCTTAATAAAAGACTGATGTGTTCTTGGAGATTAACAGTACCGAAGGCTACATGATTAGTTGTACCAAAAAAATATTTCTAAAAGTGAATCTCCAAGCCTTTGTGTGACTCACCTATCAATACCATAGATGTAGATAACTGCAATCATTTCACAGAATCCAATGACCAGAAGGGGAATAGAGCCTGCAAAGTTGTCAAAAAGAGCTAGCCAGTAGTTTCCAGAGCGTAGAGCAAATATGAGCCCAAGAGCAAGAGAAATAAAGCACGTCAGACCTGAAAACACAAAACAAACAATTGGTTTTGCTCTGTTTGTTGGGTCGCAAAGTCTGATGTGGACAAAATCTTAATCAATCAAAAGCAAAAGAGAAAGTACCAGTAAAAACTTCTTTAGGCCAAGTTTTGGGCAACAGTCCAAGATCTTGCAAAGGAACTACGACTCCCTCTATGTTCCCAAACATAGTTGAGAGGCCGAGACAGAAGAGCATGATAAAGAAGAGGACAGCCCAGATAGGAGACACTGGCATCTTGATGATGGCCTCTGTGAATACAATGAAGGCCAACCCTGTTCCCTCCACGCCCTGAAGAAGAACACACAATGCACGTCACATGATGACTCCACAACCGGCTTTTTACATAAAAGAAAATAAATTAAGAATTCTACTGACCTGACTCAAAAAGAACTGCATGTCACAAGTCCTTAAATTCAATCCCTGAATAATATCTGTGTTTGTTTGGTTCAGGTGGGTCAGGACTTGGTCGTAGTTGCTTTGTGTGATGCTGTTTTCAGGATAGTTAAACACGTTCATCAACTTCAAGATATTTCTGTATGAAAAAAAAAAATCACATTAGCTTTAATTTGGTCCAACAAAGTGAATCAAATTTTGCTTTGACTGGAGAATTAAAACTCACTCTCCCATGCAGTCGTCAAAGTTTTGTGTGGCTCTGAAGCCAATAATTGAGTAGATAACTGTTGCAGAGTACACAGAGGTGCAGCCATTGATGATGGAGATGATGACAGCGTCTTGTTCACAGTTGTTGCTGTAAGAAGGGTTTCAATAGATACTTAGTGAAATGGACAACAACACAGAGACCCTCCACGAGCGTGTACCTTTGATATTGACTTACTGAACAGAGTTGTAACTGGAGAAGGAAATGAGGCCTCCAAATGCCAAGGAGAAGGAGTAGAAAACCTGAGCTCCTGCATCCAACCAGGTTGTTGGATTCATTAATTCATCAATCTGGAAAAAAAAAAAAAACTCTTAGTACAGTTGATATTGTGACAGTAAACACTGTCATGGTCAAGCTTAATTTTTAACAGTAGAGTACACCCAGGAATTAATTTGAGTCAAATTTGTGCGGAACAGGATCCGAGAACTCTCTTATTTTGACAGGGTGCGTTCCGGTAACTGTCTCAGGCTTACTAATAATAAAGTTTTAAACAAATATGACTGCCTTGAATGAAGAAAACTGATATTGGATATGTGATTTGAAAATAATTATTATAAACACTAATTTTAAACACAACGGCCACTTACGAGCAAACGAGCTGCCTCTTAAAGTAGCATTTCCAGCTCTACCCTTAAAAAAATCTCCGCCCCTAAAAGAGTGGTGGGGGTGAATGCCGAGCTAACCAGGCAGTCGTACACAGGCAGCCGCCATAAACAGACGGAGGAGTGGGGCTCAGAGCCGTCAAGTAAGGTGGCAGGTAGGATGCTTGACAGAAGCAGAGTGTTTACAAATATAGGTAAATGTAGATGTTTAACAACCCGTTAAAATACACCATAATGCAGGAAATCTCATCTACTTCATTCAAAATTTTCTGGGGGAGGACCCCCCTGTACCAACCCCACCACCCACCACCACCGGACCACCTGCTATTTGCGTTCCGGCATCGATCGGTTTACAAATTAAGCCCCGAGTACACCTGAATTGTAAATGTGCTTTATCTTACATTCAACTTTCCAGGAAACACAAATACAGCAGACTGAAACAGATATGAAGCCTTTTGTGTTGAGTATTACTACTAAATTGCACTAGATGCATTTATTTGTAGGCAAATATGGTTCATTATATACACAGTTGTACAAGTTATTATTCATGTAAGGATACGAACTTTATTTATCACGCTGTGTTTTAACCCTCACTATCAGATTTATCAGTTTTGAGACAAAGGATGATAACAGACACCTTAATAAATTTTTTATCTTTGTTCTCACGTGGCACTTATCTCATGCTTCCACAAACTTTAGTACTTTCTATGTTCAGATTTGGAAAACAGTAAAGATAAGGCCTGGCATTTCTGAACACACACTCAGGTCTTCCTGACAGTGATATGACTTTTTTTTTTTAGGTGTTCTAAATTCATGGGGATATAAGGGTACATTTGGAAACAGGTCTCTCTTTTAAATGAGTTCTCGAGGCTCAATGAGACTAACCTGTATAAATAAAGGCTGAATGAATTTGTATTTTCAAAACAATTAACATAATGTCTGCTTGGTCATTTCCAATGAAGCTCATTTTGGTCTTCATTTAGATATTTTGCATCAATCTTTCAAATATCTGCAATAAGCCCTAAAACTTTAGTCATTTCTTGGCGCTTAAGTTACCACTAAGGTGCAAGCTGTTGGAAATTTGCAATTAGAATGTTTAAACTCCTAAACTGAAAATTTTACTGGGTTGCTTTCCAAATAGTGTTTTCCAAATCTGAACCTCTGAAAAATTCTTCATATCCATGGTGATAGCTGCTACGTTAGCCCATTATTAAAATGTTTATTAGTCTGTAACTCTAATCTTTTGTGCACATATTGGGCTACCACCCATAACACATAATTCAAAACAGCCTAATCTGGTTTCAATGTTACATAGTCATAGTTACCCAGCCTTTGAGCAATTGTGATAAATAAATCTTGTGGGCTCCCTGACCTGCAACTAAAACCAGAACTCGGGTGTGATGTTTTTTCCAGCTCAGCGTTATCATTTTGGGGCAAATAAAAATCATATCCAAATTTCCTGTGGAAGCCTATTTAGTTAAATAGTTAACTTTCCTTAGATTAAGACTAAAAATTGAGGTGTTAGCTATGTCATAGATAACTCATTTAAATTAAACAAAACCTTATCTTATCTCCAGCCTTGATAAACTAAAGCTAGTATCCCAATGGGCTGCAACGTTTGGCAATTAGTTAGTCCATGGTAATTGGCAAGAGTATTTCTAAAGAGGAATTCAGCAGAATAAACTATAAACATGAGGACAGCTGCCAAACTGGGTACAAAGAGGTCTAATGTGGATACAATGTAGATAGTGATGGACAACAAAATAGTGTTCATAGCCTACAATATGGCTTTGCATAGGGGAAAAAACTCAGTCTCTCAAAAGACGCATGACCTCTTGGTTGCTCAAACTTCGGGGAAACAGCAAAAACAACTTTGTCTCTTTTCTTGCAACTTTTATACTAATCTGAGTCACCAACTACTCTAACAGTTGCAGCCCAGTGAGATACTACCCTTAAAGCATGGCAAGAATCGTACCTAAGGCTGCAGGAATTTGTCATCATCAGTCATCATCTTTTTGAAATCGCTAGAAAACTTACTGCATCATTGTGAGAAAACAGCTTGTGTTCCCACAAAAGGCTAACATTAGCACATCTAGACTGTACTTCTGATGTAGCTACATCATAACATGCAAGTGAAGTCTAGTTTAAGCAACAAAAACATTATAGCAAGAAAGTTCGTGAACATATTTTCCAAATAGGCTAACTCTTTCTAAAAGAATGCATAACACAAATTATACTGCTTACATTTGGTGTGAAGAGGAACTTGATTCCTTCTGTAGAGCCTTTGAGTGTTAGTCCTCTGATGAGGAAGATGGTGAGGACAACATATGGCAGAGTGGAGGTGATGTACACAGCCTTAGAAAAGAATGATTGCATACGTTTGAACAAACTTACGTATCGTGAGTGTAAAAGTTCTCAGACGTGATGTGTTTTTCATACCTTGCCACTTGTCTCAATGCCCCGGATGCAGCAGACATAAAGCAAAGTCCATGCAGCTATGAGTGACAGAACAATCCACCACTGAAGACCTCCGGAGTCATCGATGGCCTCTGAAATGTTCAGAGTTTCTCTGTACCAGAAGTAATCAACAGTGGAGCTACGTGCACATTCCTCCACCAATCCTAAGAAGATGGATGAAACTCTGGTTTAGGTAAACCATAAATACCATGTCAAACGATATACCTTTGGAGCCCTCTGCCCCTTTTTTTAAAAACAAGGGCTTCATACCAGTTTTGTTAGCATTGAGAGGACACTGGCTCCAGGGCAGAGGATCTTGGAAGGAGTTGAATAGATACCACATGATCCAGGCCATAATGGTGTTGTAGTACAAACCCACCAAAAAGGACACAAATAAGGATGCAATGCCTGTAACAGTGCAGAAACAAATGGAGTAAAACACATAATGGCAACGTCAACAGGTACAATGTTTACCCTGCTCAGTACTTTAGCGTAATGTGCTAAATGAGGCATTCTAAGGGTAAAGGTTTAAATGTGAAGCTTATCTGCTTCATGTCAAAACAGCGCCAACACTGTTCAGGTAATGGTGCTTAAAAATGGAATAAATTCCATGTCTTACAACTACGTATAAAAGGTTTATAATGAAGCAAAACGTAGGCAGCTCAGATTGACAAGAATTAGAATCATTTTGATGTAAAAGTGGCTGAGGTTGTGCTACAAGGTGGAGTTCTTTATTCTTATAAATCATAAATGTTTTCACCAAATTACAGTTTCCTATGAAACAATAGGTCAACTAACCTATGGACCTAAACTATTATTGTTCATTAAGACAGAGCCAAAAGGGAACTAGTCTGCAGAAAAAGAGAACAATGGTTCATTGAATACACACCGACTCCTGTCAGGTATGGGTTGATTGACCTCCAAACGCCCGAACTGCCCTTCCTCAGCCGCTGGCCAATGGCGAACTCTAAGTGCAGCAGAGGGATTCCCTCCAGAACCAGCAGGATAAGAAACGGAATCATAAACGCTCCTGGAAATGAAACATTTAGCTTACATTGAACTTGCAACTACACTGACGCTCTGTGTACTGGATAAAATTAGAGTTTCTTCACAGTGTACACTGATGACAATTTCAATCTTAAGAAAATAAAAAAAGAAAAGAAATGCTTTCACTTCCACTGTAAATGTAGTACTAACATGTTAAGCTCAGATCTGGTACAGTTATCTTTGCATACCTCCTCCATGGCTCTGACACAAGTATGGGAACCTCCAGACGTTTCCAAGTCCCACACAGAAGCCCACACAGGTGAGCAGATACTGGGCTTTGTTGTCCCATTTGGGTCTGTCTCCAGCCTCCTCCGTCTCCATCCTTTCCAGTTCTTCATGAGTGAGGATTCTGTCATCCAGTCCAGGGTTTGGTATCTTCAGTTTCATGATGGCTCGTTACACTTGACTCAGAGTTGCAAAGCGTAGTCTCCCTTTCAGAGCACTGTAATTATTTTGCTACTTTTGCAAAACTTCAGGCGGCTATATGTTTTCTGAAATAACCTCTTGTGTGTAAAGAGTTGCCAACTCCCTGTGTCTCTCCCTCCTCTTCCTCCTTATCCTCTACCCCTTCTGTGCCGGGGAAAGACTCACTGAAGTTTTTACTGTGACATCTGCCCACCTTACTGCAGTTATCAGTAGCTTATTACTGTCTGTGTTGCATTATGTACCGTCAGCAAGTTTCCCCAGGAAAAGGTGCAACCTCATTTATAATGGTTAACCCATCACAGAAAGATGCTGTCACCTATAGTTTCACTGTGATGAGTGTGCTGTTTAACAGTTTCCAAAGATTGAACTTAAAAGTACTGAACTGTGGATTCCTTAAACCAGGAAATCTGACCCAAAATTAAACAAGTCGTCTTTCATTTGGGAACATAATATTTTGAAAATCATGCTTATAAAATTATGTTATACTACATTAAATCTTTTTTTGTAAGATATTAGTGCAAATGTAAAGCATCAAATTGTTGAAAATGCACTATTTATCTGACTTTGTTTGGCAGCTAGCAAAACAATAAATGGAATGGAGAAGCACGGTATCATTTTATTTTCCAGGATTACCGTCAATGGGATGTGTTCGTATCTTATCAGTTTCTCCTTCAATTGCAATAATTAACCAAACACAGGCCTATAATTGCATTTGCAGAGAGGTGTGATACACAGTAAATCTATCAAAGTTTCCATAAAACTAAATATTAATTTAGCTACCACAGGTGTAAAATATTTTAGTTGTACCTGTTACATTTGTAGCCAGGATGTTTAGATTTTGACAACTAGATATTTGGGCTGCTCAGTTTTTTATGTCCCAGAACCATAGAAACCCTATATAATATATTTACTGTGGCAGCACGGTGGCGCAGTTGGTAGAGCTGTTGCCTCCCAGCGAGCAGGTCGCCAGTTCAAATCCTGGCCGCGGGCCTTTCTGGGTGGAGTTTGCATGTTCTCTCCGTGCCGCATGTGTTCACTCCGGGTACTCCAGTTTCCTCCCACAGTCCAAAAACATGCATGTTAGACTGATTGGTAACTCTAAATTGTCTCTAGGTGTGAGAGAGACAGTGAATGGTTGTTTGTCTCGTGTGTCTCTCTGTGTCCTTGTGATGGACTGGAGACGTATCCAGGGTGCACCTCACCTCTCGCACAGTGACTGCTGGACATGGACACCAGTGACCCCCGTGACCTAAAACGTAAGAAGTGGGTAAAGATACTGGATGGATGGATGGATGGATGGATATATAATATATTGTTTACACAAGAACATGCTGTCTGTCCAAAATATTTGGATCCTGAAGACGTACTGAAATCTATTCAAGCTGGTGTGGTGGTTTTTACCTGGACTATTGTAATTCACTGTATGCTGGGGTCAGCCAGGCCTCTATCTCACGGCTACAGCTTGTCCAGAATGCTGCAGCTCGGCTCTTAACCGGTACACCGAGGTATGAGCACATCACACCAGTTCTGTCCTCCTTACACTGGCTTCCTGTGAGAACTAGGATTGATTTCAAAATTCTCCTCCTGACCTATAAGTGCCTAAATGGCCTCGCACCCATCTACCTCTCTGAGCTACTGGAACCATATGTTCCCTCTCGGGCTCTGAGATCATCCGATCAGCTGCTTTTGGTTGTTCCAAAAACACGACTGAAGCTCCGAGGAGATCGGGCGTTTTCAGTCATTGGTCCCAAACTGTGGAACAACCTACCCCCCAACATTAGGCATGCCACCTCCCTTCCTGTGTTCAAATCCCTGCTAAAAACATATCTGTTCTCTCTGGCGTTTCATACTGTGTGAGTTGATTTAGTATATCTTGTTCCATGTCTTCATTTTAATGCTGTTGTTTTAATTTTTTAAGGTATATTCTTACTGCTTTTTATTTCTTAGTGTTACCATTAGTGTTAAGCACTTTGATAACAGTCTATGTTTTAAATTGTGCTCTATAAATAAATATGACTTGACTTGACTTGACTTGACTTGACATTCATCTCCCAGAACAAAAGTTCATCCTCGGACTTAGCTGTATGCATAGTCCTCACACAGTCCAAAACACATGCACGTTAGGTCCAATGGAAATTCTCAAATGAACTTTGTTGTGAACGTGTGCATAGTTATTTATCTCCTGTATTTATTTATTTTATTAACCTTTACTTAACCAGGCAAATATTGAGATCACAGATCTCTTTTGCATGGGAGGCCTGGGCCTGTTTTAGGACTGTGGGGGGAAACTGGAGTACCCGGGAAAATCCTATGCAAACACAAGGAGAACATACAAACTCCACAGAGAAAGACCCCAGATCCAAATCAGGAATTGAACCCAGGACTTTCTTGCTGTGAGGCAACAGTGCAAACCACTGAGCCAACGTTCTGCCCTGTATCCATGTGATGGTGCCCTGAACAGGACAAAGCAGCTGCAAATTGGTGAATGAAATATATTCAAGCTACAGATATATAATGCATGAGTTCTTAAAGTGTTTATTATTAACATTGACATGTACAGTATGTGTTAATGTACCAAGTTAGGGAATAGATAAGAACATTGAGATATTAGAAAAGTCCCATTGCAGCTACTACCCAAAGTTCCAATGTGTATCAAGTTTCTTCTGTACAGCCAGTATATATTTTTGGACTTGCTTTTTTAATAATCTAATGTAAGAGTAGGAGCTTTATTTTTTGACACCAGGTTCAAACACCTTCTTGTTTACCTTATATTTTGTGGAGTTTAAACACTGAATTCTGTATTAGCTTTTGTTCATTTATTTATTTTACTTAAGTTTTGATCTGATAAAATTGCCCCAAAATTGCATGCCCTACAGCAGTGTAAGACACTCTGGGTGAAAGTGGCCAAAACGACCTAATTTTTGATGTGTAAGTTAAAAAAAAGTGTAAAGTTTGTGGCCGTAAAAAGAGTTTATTTGCAAAATCATTAGAAAGTTAAGACATCATTGCACTTGAAGTAAAATTTTGTTGAACCATTTATAAACAAATTGATTGTGTAAAAAATTATTTTATCAAAATGCCAATTCAGTTATAAAAAGTCCAACTTTCTGTATTTTGTTTAAGTTTTGAACTACACTTTTAGTGGGAAACAGGTCTGAGCTATAGACTTTAACAAGTGAGTTTCCCTAAAATCCAATTTTGAACATTGTAGTATTTATTTATTTATTTTTCTTCAGATATTGCCTGTATTGTACAATGTACCACTACAAAAAGTCAGACTACACTACTGTATTCCAGATGAGTACAAACTAAAAATTGTGACAGAAACAATAAATAATTGAAAGAATTGAATAAGGGTGTTTCTATTCTTATGCATTAATTGGCACTCTTAACTACAGCTCTTTATTGTGTCAAGCTCCCCAAAAGTTTATAATTTTATTAAACAGTTATGTTCACAAGGCACACATGGCTGTCAAACAGTGATGAAATAAATTCTACAAATATTGAAGCAAAAGCCACAAATGTAAACATTTATCTTCCTTACATCTTTCTGACTAAATACGACCTAAACATCATCAGATTTTCACACACGTCCTAAAAGTAGATAAAGAGAACCCAGTTAAACAAATGAGACAAAAATATTTTACTTATTCATTTATTTATTGATGAAAATGATCCAATATGGCAGCACTGTGGCACAACTGGTAGATTTGCTGCCTCTCAGTGAGCAGGTTGCCCCGGTGCAAATCCTGGTCCAGGGATTAAGGTCAGGACTTTGACTTGGCCATTCCAAACCATGAACTTTATTCTTCTTGAACATTCTTTGGTAGAACGACTCGTGTGCTGAGGATCATTGTTGCTGCATGACCCACCTTCTCCTGAGATTCAGTTCATGGACAGATGTTCTGACATTTTCCTTCAGAATTCTCTGATTCAGTTCAGAATTCATTGTTCCATCAATGATGACAAGTAATAAATAAAAGGTTTGCTATGATCCTCAAAAAGCTCAGATGCAGCAAAACAGGCCCAAACCATGATACTACCACCACCATGTTTCACAGATGGGATAAGGTTCGTATGCAGGGATGCAGAGTTTTCTTTTCTCCAAACATTAAACTTTTCATTTAAACCAAAAAGTTCTATTTTGGTCTCATTGTCCACAAAACATTCTTCCAACTGTCTTCTGGCTTGTCCACGTGATCTTTATCAAACTGCATGAGCAGCAATGTTCTTTATGGAGAGCAGGGCCTTCAACCCTGCCATGCACACCATTGTTGTCCAGTGTTCTCCTGATGGTGGACTCAAGAACATGAACATGAGTCAATGTGAGAGAGACCTTCAGTTGTTGGTCCTTTGTGACCTCACAGACTGTTCCACTCCTTCCTCTTGGAGTGATCTTTGTTGGTCCATCACTCCTGGGGAGGGGAACAAAGGTCTTGATGTTCCTCCATTTGTCCACAATCTGTCTGTGGATTGGTGGAGTCCAAACTCTTTACAGATGTTTTGTAACATTTTCCAGCCTGATGAGCATCAACAACTCTTTTTCTGAGCTCCTCACAAATCTCCTTTGTTCCACAAACATGTTGTGAAGATCAGACTTTGATAGATCCTGTTCTTTAAATCAAACAGGGTGAAACTCACACCTGATCATCATCACATTGATTGAAAACACCTGACTCTAATTTCACCTTCAGATTAACTGATAATCCCAGAGGTTCACAAACTTTTACCATCACAAATATGTAATATTGGATCATTTTCCTCAATAAATAAATGACCAGGTATAATATTTTGTCTCATTTCTTTAACTGGGTTCTCTTTATCTACTTTTAGGACTTGTGTGAAAATCTGATGATGTTTTAGATCAGACTGATGCAGAAATATAGAAAATTATAGTGTTTACAAACTTTCAAGCACCAGTGTGTACATATATATATATATATATAGACACATAGTACATATATTGCTATCTGCAGTTTCTTGTTAGATGCAGGAAGGAGAGTTGGGAACCAAATCTAAAGTCCTTCACTGATAAAAGTAAATGACTTGACATTGGATAACCACAAGGAATAACAACAGTTATTATTAGTCATTAGCACAATCAAACAGATCTTGTAAGGACGTATACAGATTGTAATTGTGACTAATGTGAGATTAGCTGACTATAAAACAGATGTAAATAAATAGTCTTTACTTACTTACAGGG